CCCCAAAACCCCAAAACCCCAAAACCCCAAAACCCCAGCTATTTTAAGTAATATTGAATTCCTAAAATTTGATATTATATTGACTAATACCTCTCAACACGTCTATCCCAGTATGACATGGTATTGTCTGGGCTTACTAAATCAGATCCCAAAGAGAACATTCCTAGTCTATTTTGAACGCAAATTATTAATATTTATAACATTTCTTCACTGTTTAATCCTCATTTTTGGCTTCAAATAATTATAGATCTCTAGCAAGTCTGATTTCAGTAGATTTAGTCTTTTTGTATTCTCTTGGCCTATTTGTTCGATTTAATTCTAAAATTACTTGCAAATGTTGTCATAACTTGACACTTTATGTATATTGGCCCTGTTTGCTTTATTGCTGGAGAACAGGTTCCCAGAGTTAGGCTTTATCTACAGCTGAATCAGGGAGTTTACCACTATGATATTACTTAACTGCATACTTTTATGGATCGCTCTGTTTATTGACATCCCTTTGTCAAGTCTGAGATTGTAGATCTACAATGTGGGGTAGATACCTACCTGATTCTTTAGAAGTTTTATACGGAGTTCATTAGCTATTCTGTCCTTGTTCTGCTTGAGTAGCTACTAGGAGTGATCCAAATAAGTTACCTGATCAATGCTATGACTTGTTTGCCTTTCGAACGAATGCGCTGGTATCTCAGATTCTATAAATCTCAGCAATATTTTACTGTGAGGGACCATATTGGGATCAAAGTTTGATATCATGAAGTCTCTCCCAAGAGTTCTATCATAGTTATTCTATTTTTGGTTTACCCTTTGATGATGTTCTAAAGCTTGAGAGGATGAAACTTACAACTGCATTTGTAATTTGAATCTTGTCGTGATATATATTCTTGTTTAAATTTTCCACTAAAAGTTTGAAATTATCCTACTCTTAAGAGTCAAATGCGAAATCTTTGATTTAGACTGCACCTAAGCCAATTAAGACCATTTCTAACTTTCCTCCGAATGATAGAGTTGACTTGTTTCTGGAGCTCTTTAGCCTTATCATCTCTCCCTTGAAAGTTCTTAAAAAGCTGATAGTTCACTTTATGCTTGAATTTCTGAGGCTATACATAACCAGGACAAATCTTACAGAGAAACTGGTATTATTTTTCTCAAAACTTTGAGATTTCCCTCTCTTTCTCTTCCTTATTTGTCTAAATTTGATGAAATCAGTACTTTACTTAGGAAGTTTAGGCATTTTAGCATTGAGCTCTTTCTCGATGGCAAGCTTATTTACCCAAAAATCTCTTAGCTAAATGGGACATCGAAGTTCTACATAAGAATCTGTTCTGGACATATTCTAAGTTTGATAAAACCGACCTACTCGAAGGTTGGGTGGTCTCAATCAACTTTTGACTTCCTCTAAACTCATTTGGGGAATTTTTCTGCTGCTCATAGTTTTCCAGAACCCAAGGAGTGTTAAGAAATTGGGCATCTCGGGTAAAATCTGGCTCTAAATTGTTGAATTAAGACAGATTCTTGACAAGATCGATAGCAATTGTTTCACAGAAATTACAATTTTCTTACCTTGCTTCTCTTCCTGCTTAGCATAATGATAGTCTTTACACTTAGACAGCACACTGCTTCTGTTTTGGCTATTTTGTAGCTCGACGGTCCTGAATAGGGTTCTCCGATCGATAATCTACACAAAATTATGATCATATTCTAAAAATTTTGAGGAGGAAAAATTGAAATAATCAATTGCGAACATAATCCTAGGCTTTACTGTAACTTATATATACAACTTAAGTCTACTTAAACAAGTGCTGCATTTAGAGAAATGATTTGGAGAGTTATTTTATGCTAACCGAATTCCCTAATTTTTTACATTATCTCTTTAACAATCAATAGTGAGTATTTATCCTCTACCATAGATCTAGCGTCACAAGAAAGTTATGGAAACACCAAAATTTAACACAATTTCTAAAGTGACTGGTTCACATACCTTGATCTGGGCTACCGAGCTCAAGCTTTCCTTCAAAATTCTTCAAAAACTGTTTTTCCTTCTGAATCTTGATCTTCTCTCCTGATTTTTGAAGAGTCTTGACTAAATGATTGTTTCTTGACCCAGCTACAGTACTGAAACTTTTGCTAGTGCAGGTTTTCATTTTATTTTTCATGCTAAGAATAATAGAGAAGGGAATTTATACCTCGATCGGTGGTAAAGTCCCATTCTAGCAATATTTGGATGCATATTTCAGTCATCACTCTTGTTCATCTAAGCTGATTGATCCTTAAAGTTACGTTAGAGTTCGTCTTCTGCCTTGTCTGTATTTGAATCCTGCTCTGGGCCCCTAAATTTTCATGAGGTTTCTGGATTTTCAACTACCAGCGATGGAGAAACTAAGTTTTTGAGTGAAATAAATTTATGAAAATATCCTGAAATTGGCTTTTTGCTGGAGGTAGTTCTAAGACTCTAATATTTCCGGAATAATTTTAAGCAACCTCGAAAGGACTTCTTCAGAGCAAAAGATGTCTTACCTTCTGAGGGGAAAATATGGTGTTTCATAGTGAAATTTTGATTTCCTGGTGTTTTCAATAATTTCAGGATTTCTTTATTATGCCTATATCCAAATTATTCACCCAAAAGCCATTCTGGTCGCTTAAGTACCCTTTACTCCTGCTCATTGGTTATTCTCCGTGTGTATTTCTCGAGAAACTTCAATAAATTATTTACAAACCGGGGTTTTGGGGTTTTGGGGTTTTGGGGTTTTGGGGTTTTGGGGTTTTGGGG